GACCACGTTTGAAAAATTTTCTCGTGCTCAACCCTTTTGCGAACGTTTGTGGGTGTGCAAATGTTCGTCAACGTTCACACCATACATGAATGGATAAATCGTATTCATTTCGATGTTCTGTCGGTGTGATGTCGTCGCACAGCACATTGTTATGCGACGGTATTATTGGGCGAAATTCGATGGAAGCCCGTCGGCGATTATGGACGTGAAATCAATAGCGGAACGGGGACCGACCGATTCTGAACAGAGTGAGCCAACATGGAAAAGTCCTCAGTAGGGGAGATGGTATTCGGCTTTTTTGAGAGGAGGAGTTTTGTTTAGCGGAGTTGTGATCCAACTTCGAGAATTCCTCGAAGAAGAAGTTGTATTCGGGCTCTCTGGAGAAGACGACGGAAGTTGTTTAAAGGCACAACCCAGGCAGAGGTTTTTTATAACTCTTCTCTTCGGTCAGAAGTATAGAACCCTAGGGGACAATCACAAATGTGGCGTTCACGTGCACGGAATTCGACCGACAAGAACGCTTTGGGCTTGCAAAGTAAGCTGCTCGAGCTGCAGCGAACGAGCTCTCTTATCAGGCCGTTGTCTGGTGCTCTCTCATCTGATGCGCTCTCTCGCCCCATACTCTCCTCTTCGCGCTTAGTCTCTCGTTCCTTAGCAGCCAATTAGGAAAGGTGAAGTCTTTCTTTTTTCGTCATACGGCACCCTTGGCACCGATACGTTCACATGTCGTTGTGCAGAGCCCACCACCAGTGCGATCCTGGGCCATGCCTTTACTCGTGTTTCGCTTGAAATTTGGCAGTGTGTTTGCGGAAGTGGTTGGGTTGTTGCGAAGGTGGTTTTGATAGGGTTCGTTATCGAACTGTTGTAGAATTCTTCGGAGTTTCTTAAATTCCATTGGAATTTCTAGAATTTTTTGAAATTTTGAAATTTCCTGTTTCTGCTGTTGTTGAACATAGTACCGTATACTTCCCCCACTCCTCCACGTTCCACAAACAACGTTTTTTGAATGTAGTCAGTTCTTGTTCCAGGCAGGTTAAAAGGAGGGTGGGGATAGATTTTCAAAATTTCGTGGAGGAGAGTTCGTGAAATTACGGGGGGGGGTCGTATATGCTGTCTGTTTGAGGAGGCTTATTAATTTGTCACGTAAAGGCTCATGTGCTGAGCTTCGCAAAGGTGTTGGTAGTGTTAGGGCTAGGAAACTTTCGAAATTGGTAGGACAGGGTTAAGAAGTTTTTCAAACAGGGTTTTGCGAATACGCCTTATCTCTTGAGGACCTCTTTCAGGGGACTTTTATGTGTTGTGGACAAGAATTCTGATTTTCTTTTTTGAATTTTTTTCTACTGTCTGTTTGGTTACGGTCGAGTCCAGTTGGCATTCGCAACTTCGGGACAACGGTAGATATTGATCTCTTAATTGCAGCTCTCGATCTGCTCTTATCTGCGATACATGAGGAACTGTCGTCGTGCTTTGATGCATATTTCGCCGTTGAAGATGAATCGTTCTGGACACAAGTGGCTCCACTGATTCGACTTGAACATGACTATGACGCAGAATGTGAGTGTATTCCTCGTTAGGGTATTTCTACGAGGGTTTGTGCGCTAGGTTACAAAACTTCAGGGTAATTTCACTTTGATTTTCCTCCGAAAATATGCCATGAGCTGTTTAGACCGCGACTGCCGTTGTTAAATATCATGGATTTAAAGGCACACTCCACGATCGACTTCGTGGGGAAAGAGCTCCTTCCCAGGGAGGGGTGGAATGGTATGCCGCTCGTAGACTGCGCCGTCTTTGTAAAATAAACTTGCAACGCAAAGGTGCTAAAGCTGAAAGAAGGGCAAGCCGTTTAGCGAGTGCTTGAAGACCCGCTCAGAATCAGCACAAATTATAAGATCAGGTGCAGTTGGGAGGGGGAGCCTAATTCAGGATATCGTGAGGTTTCTTTTGTTTTTCTTTTTCCTCGATGGTGATGCTCTTTGAACCTCTGCTTTCGTTTTCTAGCTCATAGATCAGATCATAGGGATCGTGAAATGTGCCTTAAATTAGGTAGTTTCAAGTTTCATTAAGCTACCTTTACGGCATCGACTAAGCCAGGCAGTGATATTTAAGAAACTGTCCCACCCGTTTATTCTTGAAATGTGCTTTTGAAGTCGTAAAACAAAGCGGTGCAGTATGGAGTTTTGTATTTTAGTGCCCGGTATGGTGTGTAGAGTATACATGCGAGAGGAATCGCCATGGGTTTTGAGCGTCGTTGTTGTGCCGGCGACCTCAGAAAGCATAGAAGTGCTAGGTGAGAGTAGAAGTTTTCTAGCTTTTCTTTTCAGCGGATTGTGAAGGTGATAGATATTGGGTTTTGAGAGATTCAAGTGGGCCTTATTTGATTTAATGTGTCTCAGAAGCGATACCATTGTTGTTCTGCCTGTGTGACGAGCCTCTGCTAGCAGTGGATCTTGGCAAACGTAACTCACCACCTCCTGAACGGATTCTCGATCGACGATATTCACGCTCACCGTCGGCGAAATTGCAGGAGGAGGAGAAAGAGATCGGTGAGTTGAAATTTGTAGCAAATACCCGATAGCTGCGCGTGCAGGTTATCTTGGGAAACTGATCAGCGCTGCACAGCAGGAAGGGGGCGGCGCATTGACTTTTTTACGATGTTGTTTTTAGTGATACTGCTGCCTTGACCCATTACGGACCACAATTTACTGAAACTTAAATGTGATTTTGTCGTTTGTGAGTACATGGGCACCAAAGATGCTGTGCGCGCGTACGGCAATGGAGTTTAATGTTTGTTTACATGAAAAAGTCAATATAGCTTTGGCGCTAATTTCATTAACTGCATGTACCACATCACATGACCTCCCCCTTCTCTTCCCTTGGCATATCTAATCGAGTTTTTACCTAAATGCAAAGGCTGCTTCCGTCTCTCTCCCTTCACCCAATCGGTCCAAATTCATCAAGGTTGAAGAGATGACAGATTTATTGGAATGCCGAATAAAACGGGCGAAATTCCTGAATATGCCTCAGATTTCTGGAAGCATTCCCCGACGACACCCTTTTGACCTAATCCAGTACGACTCCTTGTAGAGACTTCTTCAACGCATGCTCGGCTCTGGTCCATTGTTCCTATTTTTAGAATCTGTTAAAGCATTAATGAACGAGGTGCAGGCGAGCATAGCAATTCTTAGTGCCATCAGTATGAGGCACCCCTATTAGTTTTTTCTAGTGACTGAGCTGACGCCATTCTATGCCAATTAGCGTTTCCATCTTCCTCATTTTAGATGTTTTGGGCGAATTCTGAGACTGCTAGTAATGAGCGTGGTGAGTGGCATTAGCGGCAATATGCTTTACGTATTTCAGTAGTGCGTTTAGTCTGGACCCCAATAAAAAGCCGAGGTGTTCGCTGCAATGAGGTGGAATGGAGTAATATTGCACGTGAAATCATTGACAGCCCACTTTCGCCCCCACTGTTCGATGCGCAGGTGCTTGAACGGTGTGTGCTGGGCTAATCGATTCCAATACACAAGGGCAACTGACAAGACAAAAAGAGGAACCGTTCTAGGTGTTTAAACGATTTGTCGCTATTTGAGTGGGATAGATCGTCCCTTGAGCTCACTCAACTGAAACTTCATCCAAAAAAATATAACATTGATTCGATCTTAAGCCCTCTAACAATAGTTTGACACAATTTCAAGCAATGATAAACGCAAACCTTACATTATCTATTGTGATCATTGAGCAGCAGTTGCCAACAGAACGTTGACATTTTAATCTGGAAGGTGGCAAAAGCTCTATTAGCCACTTAGTTGGCTTTTCGCTAAGTATGTGTGGGGGATGAAAATCCTGCTTTAAAATCTCTGATTGATTTGAAAGACAGGTTTTGACCATGTGAAAGGTAGTTTTGGAGGAACCAGTGCTAGAAGTTGTGCAGTGGGAGCGAAGGTTGGTGGAGCCTCGTTAGCTCAGTTGGTAGAGCGTTAGACTTTTAATCTAACGGTCAGGGGTTCGAGTCCCCTACGGGGCTGGAAGTTTTTGCACGGCCAATGTGAGGTCAATACTGTTACGGAAGTCGGCCACAGGTCAAAAGGATAAAGGATAAAGCATTTGCCGTTGATCAATCCCTTTTTGGGATGCGGCACGCATTCTACTTCCATTTACATTCGCAGTGGCGTTTGAATGCGATGTGGCCTATACAATGACTTGCGGGGGCCAGCCGATGTACAAGTCAGTGTTTTTATCCTCCCAGACAAGTCTGGTAATTAACCATGCTTGGTTGGCTCGGGCGACGCACGACCCAGGATTGATCCCCGGACCACGTGCGTGGTAAGCGGCGCCGCTTACCACTACACCATTTCCGGCCGGCTACACGTTAAGATCAAATTATGTTACTAAGCGGGAAGTGACACTCATCAGGCGCCCTATCTAGCTGAAGAATATTATTGTGAAATTAATATGTGATCTTCTAGCAATTCCTCCAATTGACTGGGTGTCCACGACTCGATGCTTGGATGTGTTGAGGGAGAACTACAAACCGGGATGTCTTACGAATGTTATCAACGACGTCGATGAAGTATGTGTTTTGAAACTCTATTTTCTGCTTGTAGTATGTTCTACTTTAGAAAGGGTTTGTACATCTTACGAGCCCTTCTGCCAAGTTTCAAAATCTATTTTTGGCCAGATAACAAATTCACACGGCACACACGTTTTACTTTTTCCAGACAGTGATCAGTAAGGCTGTGGTGTCGGCCATGTACAGTGCTGTTAAGAGTGGTGGGTAGTTCTTTGATTCATTTTTACTCGTATCTCTCAGTTATCCTTATTAAATGACTTAGATCTCGTTATTTGAAATAATTCTTTCGAAATGATTTGAATCAATGTTAAAATATACCGTACCATGCTAGTGAAGAAATCACTAGAATAATAGTTCTTTGGTTCTTAAAGGCACAACCCAGGCAGAGGTCGTGTGAACGCTTCTCTTCGGTCAGAAGTATAGAACCCTAGGGGACAATCACAAATGTGGCGTTCACGTGCACGGAACCGACCGACAAGAGCGCTTGGGCCTTGCAAAGTAAGCTGCTCGAGCTGCAGCGAACGAGCTCTCTTATCAGGCTGTTGTCTGGTGCTCTCTCATCTGATGCGCTCTCTCGCCCCATACTCTCCTCTTCGCGCTTAGTCTCTCGTTCCTTTAGCACAGCCAATTAGGAAGGTGAGTGAGCCCTCAACCTGAGCGTTTTCGACGGATTCTTTTCCTTTTTTCTTCACTGCCGGCCCACTTGGCACCGATACATTCACATTCGTGTGCAAGAGCCACACCCAGTGCGATCCTGGGGCATGCCTTTAACATCTATTTAAAAGAGACTATCAGCACTTTTTCAAGGAACTCAGTTTAAGTAGTTTTCACACCAAATTTCCTACCCTTTCAAACATAAATACAAATTCAGTGCATGTCACAATGATCAGGCCGTAGTACGTGGTCTAACTAACGACAGGAATGTAGAAAAGTACCTGGAAGTGATGGTATGGCGCCCGAATCTGAACACTTTTCTGCTACACACTTTAATTGAGGTAGTTCCCCAACATTGGTGTTTCGTAAAAACGTAATTCCTTAAGGTGTTTCAGACTTCTGGCTACCCGTCCACGCAATCTCTTTAATCAACTTGGAGTTTTAGGAAATTAGAATAACACAGGTTGATGTCTAACGTCACATCGCATGAAGTCGCAATTGTTTGCGTCTCGAATTTTTTTTCTAATTTTTACAGATAACTGTGTACTACCATTTAGTAATTCCCGCAGCGATGCAGAGCATGTGTCTGGCAGACGAACCACTTACGATCCGAGATTCAATTCTGTACCCTGCGCTAGTGCGCAACGCTACTTGTGCCTACAATTTTCCCGTCCTACTTCAGATCAATACTTATGATTACGAGTAATAAAATAAAAAAAATAAAATAATAAATAAAAAACGTTGATCTGAAGTAATTCGTCGCAGAAAATGAAACAGAGCAGTGGGAGAAATAATTCAAATTGAAGGTAGGCAACTCGTAGCACTGTTTAGGGCTGGCTTGTGCCGAGCGAATGACAAGGTCATCTGGCTTGATTTTCCATTCATAGTGAAACCATCTTTGTTAGCTGGCGTGGTACAATTCAAAGAAGTGTTGGCGCAATGACAACTGCTTGCCTTGGTTATTTAAAAATTGGAAAACATAGCACTACATTGGTCGTTGATGAATCTCTTTTCGAAATTCGTCCCTATTCAGCTTCCATTCGGAACGCTCCAGGCATTTGAATGCGGCTGGGCCCATACTTTGATTTGCGGGACATCTGATGTGTAAGAAAGATTTTCATCCTCCCAGACGAAGCTGCTACCAATCAGCTTATCCTTTGAATAAACTCGATTGAACTCGATTGTCCCAAGCGGGATCTCTTATTTGCTATCACACTTCCACTTGAAGTTCCAGCAGTAGATGCAAATTCAAGGAGAGTTTGTAGAAAAATAGGATGAATTTCAGGGTCATCGTCATTCGAAGACGTCCTATTGTGGTGAGAGTAAAGCTCAATTGAATTTCTCAAATATGCTACAAGGAACCTTTCAAACAAGTTCCTGGACTGCCGTACTTCTACTATACACCACAACAGTAAGACTTTAGTTATTCGATGATTGTCCAGAAAAGTGTCACGTAGTTTTCCGGCAGTGATTGCTTGAAACAATGGAGAATAATAATGAATACGAGAACGTTGGATATCAAAATTTGTTCTTAAGTTTTGCATTTGAATGCCGTCGCAGTGATTATGAATATGGGGTCTTCAGTTTCTTGCTGTCACAAGGTTACCGTTACCTTGGGTATGTTTTTGAAACTTTTATCATGGAGGGAAAGTAGCCAACCAAGACTCACTGCCCGATGATGGGTCAAAGTTAGGTTCATTCAAAGGCACAAGTCTCTCTGTCAGTCTGTTGAGTGAAACAATCTCCTCCGAGAGTAATGGTAGATCTTCCCCTGTGTAGAGCTTGTGCTAATTTTGCTGCTCAAACGTGCATGGCAGGGGCACTAGGGTCTTATAATGCAGGCTTGAGAAGGCCTATAGGCAGTAGTCATTCCTATAGGAAATCTCATTGGCGGAGGATTCATTGACGTCTGCACCTCGTCGATCGTTCATTTTTTCCGAATCTTAAAAGTCTCCTAGGTTGACAAGTCCAGTGTTTCTTTGCCATATGCTTCAGTCAAGGCTATAGCAAAGAAGAGGGCGTCGCTCGGAGCGTTTAAATGATCATCATTTTCTTCCCATTAGCAGAGCCTTCAGCGCTAAGCGTTTCACATGTACCCAACTATCCAAGTACTACGTCGGGGAAGACTTAAAGGCAGTGAACATGATGGCTGGGAGGCGAAGCAATTTGGATGGTCATGGAGCGTTTTTGATGGAAGGGTATTGGGAGTTGAACCACACCTCTGGCACGATGAGGGGTCTGGTCCACCGAAACGTCCAGCGACCTCATCAAAACCGCTTCGCCAACCATCGCAGTCATTCGAAAAAGGCTGCTTTTGCTCTCTCCTACTACTAATTTTTTGAGCAAATGTGACACGCTTTCAAAGAATTGCTGGGTAGTGGGATTTCGTAGGCTTTTTTGTTACACGACTATTTGTTGCAGCAAAGAGAGCGATGCGAGATTCCCTGGCAAATCCGAATTGGCGTTCTTTGAAGGCTTGTTCAGCGATCAAACACCTCGAGGATGTGATACTGCGGTTGTGGACAGGAAGCTGAGTAAGTTGTAACGCTACACAAAGATCCGCGATTAATGTATAGGACCGCTCGCATTTCTCCGAATGAAGTAGATAGGTTTGCATTCGCAGAGTAGTGCATCTTTTGTTACTCAAAATGCTGGCAAGCGTGCGAGCGTTTGAGACTTGCGCCCATGCACGCGCCACAAACCAATTCCGTCCACCGTTGCGGTGTCTGCGTCTCTGTTGTCTGACGTGTTCCCTCGGCCCTCTCTCTCTCCTGAGGACATAATGGCCTCGACTGGCTCGCCTTGCAGACTGTGTGATACAGACGAGTTTCGTCATAAAGAGGTTTTTCCAGTGATTTCTTATTTTTCCATAATTGGGACGTTTGCGCCAAGCTTATATTGGGTTCTTTTGGCCTCTTTGCATCCGGAAGTTTCGGAACTTAAACCTTTAACTGAAATGGCTTGTTTTGTTGAATATGGCAAAAGCATAGCGAGCCAAAAAGTATTCTGTCCGGGGAGGATTCCGAGATCAAGTCGGAGGTCAGAGAAGGGGAAATTCCTAGTCGAAAGGCAGACCCCCTCCTCTCCTCCCCTCTCTCCTAAGGGTGTGAGACGATGCGCGTTTGCAGCGAAGGTTATGCCTCGGCAGCCTAGCAGCTTTCTCAGATTCTGGGCTGTTTGTCATGGGTTTTTCTCCCTATACAAGAGTGAATGTCGGTCGAGATTATCTTAACAGCATATCAAGGATTTTCGCCTGATCAGCTACGTTCTCCCGTACGGACATTCACCACGTCGCATGCCAGCGAGGTCGGCTCTCCGCGCGTACGCTTTAACTCTGGCACACTCTCGCACAGTACAGAGCAATGGTCGAGGAATTCCTCGACCGTTATTCACCATGCCCTATACCACTGACCACCCTACCTTGATTCGGGAGGGCTACCTGTTCATCGTAAACTCCGCCTTCAACGTTTTATTGATCACGCTTTTGGAAGAATGGCGTGTGTGATCATTTGAGCAGGGAAATGAAAATTGATGCTAGCAGTTGCAAAGCTTGAGCGGTCACATTTATTTTCTGGAATGCAGTTGAGTTACCATTGTGCGGTTTCAGGCGATGCCCGTATGCCAGATGATACGATCTCTTCGACTGGATCGCTCCGAAGAGCTGACAGACCGGTCGATCAGTTTAGGTTGCGGCATGCATTGGCGGAAAAGGAGAATGGAAAACATAGAAACGGCGATGAGAAGCAGTCAAGAACGGTGAGGATGACTTTCAGCTGAAAACATGAACATGCTGGAAGATCGACGCTTCACAATTTCTTATCGAAAGATTCTATTGGAAACGAGTACCTCTTAGAGTTGTGGTCGTAATAGCTGAGAGGCGGAAACGAGTTAGACATTTTTCTAGAGAAAGAGCATGGATAGGCTGCCTAACCACCTTCTTTTGCGCGCTCATGCAATATCGCCCCTCGACGCCTTCTAACAGTGAAGTGTCTTACAGTTCTCAACCTCTCAGCCATCGCAGCCGCTACCTTTAAGTTTGCTTGCAAGGCTTCTGCGACCTAAAAGGACTGAGTTTAACCTGAGAGGACTACCAGTACCATCCTTTGAGTGCGACATGACGGCTGCTCCTCTTTAAGTCCGAATGAATTAACTCAAGTGTTTATTTTCGTTAGATTTCCTGTCAGCGCTTAATATCTCGACTGTATAGGATTCACCGGATCACAAGGTGCAGAAAAATAGACGATTTCTATGTAGATCAACGGGTTCTTACCCTTTCCCAAAGCATTTTCGGCCTGTATCTCAACTCAGTCCGCTCTGAAGAATGCGTTTTTTACAGGCTACTATCACTGGGAACTTAAATCTTTCAACAAGGGAGCTCGCAGGCCACCTTTGCCTAGTCTAGTCGATACCCACCCATGAAATTTTTCGTCCAATCTTACATTTTTTCGAATGCTGCACTATTATTTTGTCAAAATTCAGCTTGCTTTCGGCCGTGATTATCCGCTGTTCATCTACTTTATGTGTTCGGTTGAGTATCCAGATCACTCAATGGATACATTTCCTGTGACGTTTCTGCCGACATGCATCAAGGAAGTGCTTCGTGGAGGTGTGGAGCGATCGGAAAGTGATCTTGGTATATTAACAGTTCCTAACCATTTTTATTGGATTTCGAGAAATTTCAGTAGCTCACTTGATGGCTTACAGATGTGAAAAGCGTAGTGGTCCGTCTGGATTTGTACGTGATGACGTGGCCAAGCGAAAAGATGACGAAAAATCGGCTCCAGGACGAAAGCGATACAGATACCGACGAAGATACCCACAGCCAGCGACAGATACGATTTCTCGAGAAAATGCCCAAGAAGGTAGGAATGCTCGAATTCCAACAAAACAACCAGAAAACCCTTCTGATCTTTTTAAGCTCAAATGGCGTTTGTGGAGTAGTCATATGAAGTGATTATAAAGACTGACAAAAGACTAGTGAATGAGAGCAATTCCAACTTCAACAGTGTAGCTAGATGAGTGTGTCTGCGAGCTGGGAGGAGCTTGCGATGGAGGGGCGGAGTTTGCACATGCAAAAAAGCTTTTAGACAGTTGGTAACTTGAAGAACTTTTTTTCATAACAAAGGCAGAGGTGGATCGGT